AACATTGGTTAAATTTCACTTGTGAATGTACATCCGGATATTTTGGTCGTTTTTGTGAGAATGAATTTCATCATCGTACCATTCGTCGTTATGTATCGGAATCATGTGGAATAAGTATGTACAATAATTATTACCTATTAATTATTAATTATTGTATTTTAGTTGCGATTATTATTCTTTCTGCTGTTATCGGATTCGTTGTGTTTATGGATATTTTAAAATACATCTTTAATATTGATCCAGTACAAAAGTAAGTGGGATTATTTTCATTGTCATATTCTAATATATTGAATGAGTTTTTATAGACAGCGTAATCGAATAAATCATCGGAAAGCAAAAAGAAAACAGAAGACTATTTATCGTTATCAATATATTCCTTAATAGAAACTATTATTCTTTCTATTCAGAACAATATTTATTTATGTAAATGTCAAGATTTTCCCATTTTATCGAACAATTAAGCAGAACAAACGTTTTTTATTCAATAATTTCTTGTTCACGAAGCCTATACTATTATCGTAAATGAAGTTCCTCACCAATTGAAATATTAACAATATTATGAATGAAAAGAGAAAAGATATTAATGAATTGAAATAGCATATCAAATGTTGATCTTTTGTGAAACTAAAAAAAGACTGAGATTCTTCGAACAGTTTAAATAATCATGAATTCGATAGTGAAGTTACAAAAACTTTTTAAAAAAAGATAATTAGCTTTTGGCTTTACTTGCTTCAGAGGTTCTTCCAGAAAAAATGTATTTTGAATAAGATGTGAACTTCGAACATTGCTCCTTGCAACAGAATAGGGAGCTTGAATACTTCACAAGTCGATAATGTATTGTAATAGAATCGAACACTTTGTGCAAAGACTTATTATAAGAAAGTATAGCACAAAATACGAAACAAAAGTTCATTTTAGTCCATTAAATACTTCATCGACTGATAAAGATGTTAATTTTCTGACAACTTCTGTTAATTGGAAAAATGATATAAAAAGAAGAAAATTTAATTGTATTGACTTCTATTTTTTACGACATTAAAATAGATAGTACGTTTTACCATAATTATAAACTGAAAGAAAGAACAAAAAGTATTTCTTGAAGAAAAAACGATGTTTCTGTTCATTTCCTTCTCTGAAAGAAAGGGCTATAGCGTGATAAACACAGTCATGAAAATTCATAAAGTTTGTTTATTTGCATAATCCAATCAGATTGCAGCATATTATAAATCAATGAAATTTCTCTATAGTCATCAAAGATTGACCACTGATGAGGTAATCGAGGTCGAGGATCATGAATCCGATATTAGTTTTTCAGTAGAAAAATTCGGTTCTGTTTTTTTCAGACAAGGGACGATTTTTTGGAAGGAATTTTTTTAGGCGATAGTGTTTGAAGCAGCAATATGTAGAACAAAAACGAAAGAGCTGATTAATGTCCGATTGTTGGATATTCATACTTATCAGCGTATTGATAAGATTGCAATTATATAAACAGTTATCTTACACAAGCATCATCTGATGCTAACCACTCAAAGTAATACTCCGCCTGACAAATGTTGTTTTGGACAGTCACAGCGGCACAAAGATAGTGATTCTTCAACTGGGAATAGAACGAAATGGTTTGATTCAGTTTGATGGGACTTTAAGCTAGATGAAAGAATGAAAGTTGGACATTTAACAATTATATATCGATTTGAAGAGTAATATTTTAAACGAGTTTTAGCGATTTTCATAGTTTTAACATTTCTTAGACAGAACTTACTCATCGATTCGCAAGAACATATCCGGCAATCTTTTAAGTTACTTAGTGATGAATAGTCGAACGACTACGCTTGTTTGAGTGACGTAGAAGAGATCAAATAAGTGTAAGTAAATTGGTTTTTGATTGTAAATAGTAGGAAGAGAGTCGATTAATAAATTATTTGAAGAAATCGACACGGCCAACAGCGAAAACTCACGCGATGATGTGAGTTCATTAGATGCTGCTTGTATAAAAATCGAAGTTGAATTCTCAAGGTACGAAGAAGAATTTTTTGATAATGAATTAGATTCACAAGTATGGAATGAAATAGATTCAGAATCGAATGGTGAATTACAAGAAGAATACGGGATCGTCGAAGAAGTAAATCCAACTTCGAAGAATAATACGCTCTACTCTATTGATTGTTGTCGCCATTTCATTACCGATGTAATCATTACTTTGATGGTACACGAAACTAATCGATATACGCAACAACACTTACCAGCTCAAGAACTTATCTAACGATCAAAAACTCTTCATGAAGAAATCGAAATGGTTTTGATACAAATGCCAAAAGTAGACTATTACTGGAGCAAAAGTAAGTTATACGGTTCCGAAATGATTCAAAACACGATGTCGGTGCCATGGAAAGTTAGACTTCTCTTCAATCAATATATTCTTGGTAAATCTCATAAATATGGCGTGAAAATATACAAGGTGGCGAGTTCAACAGGTTACACTTGGAATTTCATGGTTTATACTGGTAAGCAGAGTTCAATTGCAGGTCAGGGCCATGCTGAAACAGTTGTAATGCAATTGATAAATGATCTTCTGGGATGTTATCGAGCTCTGATAGCTTACAACTTCTTTACAATTATTTCTCTTGCCCAACATTTATTACAAAATAATCCGTGTAATATCGGAACATTCAGAAATAATCGTGCTAGATCAGCACGGTGAAGTTTATGGTCGTCACAGCAAAGATAGTATTAAATTGACCAAATGGAAAGATAAAAGAGATGTTCAGATAATATCTACAAAGCCATCACGTTCAACAACTGTGATAGATACAAAGAACACAAATAAGTTAAATGAACGTATTATGGAGCCACAGGTTATACTGGATTACAATGAAGGAAAACAAGATATCAATTTATCTGATCAGCTCTCATCATATTATACGTGTCTTAGACAATCTATAAAAAGGTATCAAAAGGTGGCTTTTCAATCGATATTTGGAACTTCTATCGCCAATGCTTATTTAATTTGCAAAGAAAATTATGGTACAAGCAACATGACCATGCTGCAATTTCATGAAAGCCTTGTGCGATCTTTACTTCTCGGTGAACCATTTGAGAACTTGAAACCTGGTCCAGAACAGCAGCCAGCAAACCAGAAAAAACGAGAACACATTGGTCATCTGCTCGGAGGAATGAACGGAAGTGTCCGCAATGCCCGAAGAAGATGGATCGATTGCTATGAAAAGACTAGACAACAACAATCAAGAGAAGCAAGTGCAATAACAGCAAATAGAGTAACAACTTTTTTTCTTGGTTGTGATAATTTTTTTACGCTGATTATTCTAAGGGAAAGCATTTCTCTCCACAATAAAATAGATCAACTACTGATACAGACGGAGTAAATATAGAATTAACTATCACTTTCTTGTTAAAATATAGTGTCGGTCACCGCTGACTTACATCGCCTTGAAAGGGTTAAAACTAATTAGGAAGATTTTTCTTTCCAAATTAGAAAGAATATTTCAGAAAGAAACATCAGATATGTATATCTACGTATATGATACATTAATGATTAATAAAACATCTAGAATGGATGTTTCTATTTTTACAAATTTTCGTCTTTATCAGATCAAATCGATATGTCAAAATTCAGATTATTTCTTTGTATCGTTTTTATTAAAAAGTTGTTGAACTATTCTATTTATTTGTTTTGAATTCTTCGAACCCGTTGTATAATTTGTCGATGTCCCAACTATCAGATATCATTCTTTTTCAGAGAAATCTATTTATATATTAAAATGACATTTCACTTCATTGACGCTTTTTGTTGTGTTGAATAGTTATCTTTATTGTGAAAGAAGAGTTTATAGTCATTGCATCAATTAAAATAGATGAATCAAAACAGGAGAAGATCTCATCCATTTTATTCCTAAAGATTTAACATTAAAGTCACATCTTCAATATATTTTCGAAAGAGCAAAACATATCATGGTATCATGGGAACGTATAACTCAAATGTTCGGTGTCTATGCGGGCTTTACAATATTCTGTTTTAGCCTATTTGGCAGTATTATGAATGTAATTGTATTTTCAACTGTTCGAATGTATCGTGGTCAACCGTGCACATTCTTCCTACTCATCTCAGCTATCGTTCGATCTGTGCACATTTTCAGTATAGGATTGTCGCGTATTCTTGCTGTTGTCTTTCATATAGATCTAATTCTTGCCTCACTCGTATGGTGTAAAATGAGATCTTTCATAGTCCAAACTGGTTTTTGTGTGTCAATGACATGTGAATGTTTGGCAGCAATTGATCGTTTCTTAGTCTCATCAAGATCCGTCAAATTGCGACGATTAAGCAAAATTAAACGAGCTTATCGTATTAGTATTGGTGTTATTAGTTTTTGGCTACTACAAAATGCGCCATATTTTATCTTCGTTAATATCAAGTATGTATTGATTATTATAAGTTTATGATTATTTGAAAATTTATGAGTTTTGCTAGCATAATGATCACATTTATAAACTAAAATGATAAATTTTACTTCCACTATTTTGAGAATACTCTTCTAGTTAAGAACACTATGTGCAATTATAGCATCAGATATACGTGTGAGCGTTTTGAAAAAAACATATATCACTTTTATGTCATTTAGTTCTGGCATTTGTAATATTTATAACCAATTTTGGGAGATATACTCTAATTATATTATTTATTGGTTCTTATTAACAGCAGTTCCACTAATTATCTGTATTTTATTTGGATCACTTGCATATCGAAACATGCAAACTCTAAAAAGTTTAAATCAATTACAAGGAGCTGATCGACAACTTATTAATATGATTATTGGGCAAGTAGTAGCAACTGTCGCTCCTATTATACCATCTGGTATTTTCTACATATATTCATCATCTGCTATCTCTGTAAGTTCAACAGCATCGAAAGGAATTGATTATTTTTCCCTCGACTGTAGGGAGGGTCACATGAAATAAAATGGTTTGTTTGTTTGTTTGTGGCAAAAACGTGGGCGACGGTGGGATAGTGCTCGCTACGTGGCTGAAGTTGCGCACGTATGCCGCCAGTGGTGGCCGAAGGTCAGAGATGTGGCCAATGGTGTGTGCCGGTGGCACGATGTGATCCTTCATAGCGACGGCTGTGGGTGAAGCTCAAGGGCCAAGAGTGAAAGATTAAAAATCATTTTTCTCGAAATATTTGCCATTTGAAGAGTAGTCTTTTCCGATCGAACCAATGGCCGACGGAAGAGCATATTTAAAGCGTGGAGATATGGCTTGAGGGCTCAACTATGAATTTACTAACTCGATAATTTGGCTAAGCGAATACTGTATTGGGAACATGGACGAAGACTCGCCACATGGTCTCTTGAGAAAAAGTAGTTTGAATGGTATCTATCTGTGGCATGATTGAAGGCAAAAAAATGACAGAAACGTCACGAATAGTGCGTGGAGATAGATGAGGCTGATTGATAATTGTCGCAAATCATAAAATGAATCGATAGCTATCACGCGATGTAAGGCTGTGAAATAAGATGTGTAGGATACATGAATAATGCATTGAACATCTTTTATGCTTTTGTTGTGTGAAGGGTGGCAACAGAAAGCGTCTGCTATTAAGAAAGTGTATATGCTATGAGCAATATTGAGCAGTCGGAAGTGATGGACTAAAGGGAAGCCGACGACCGACTGCGAGATAAGTGAGTTGATACATCTTTTGTGTAGTTCTAATGACAAGAGTACAATGGGAAGAAAGTCAGCCGCGTGTTCAGCGAGAGTACCCGGTCAGCGTTACTGGTGATAAATTCACAATAAATAACGACTTTTTATATCCTCACATTTGTTTTACAAAGACAATAAGCTATTTTATTTGTGAGAGTTAATAAATAGTCGAACAGAAAAAGTTTTACCGTTTCATAGTACGTGAAGTTGCTAGATCGATGCGCCTCATTAATAGCACACGCAGACAATATATCTGTCTTCCACAGTCGAGGGTGAAGTGAGTCGGCACGACGAACGCTACCTGTAAATTAGTGTCCTTGCGTAATGTTCTTTTCTTACTAATATTCTCATTATGAATATTACCTTGTACTGTCACTGCTTGGTCTCTTCTCTTTTCTCTTCTGTATAAAAGATTATGTTCTGTATTGTATACCATACATTTTGGAGTATGATACAATGTAGTTAATATCTTCTACATCGAAGAATAGCGATAGTGCTATTCCTCCAATCTGTCTTTGTGATCACAAATAATAAAATAAAGAAGAAATAAAATACAACAACAGGAAAAAACATTAATACCATCTTCACAACATCATTCTTTTCCGTTACAATGATCACTCTGCTTATCACTTGTTCTTTGACTATGTCTATAGTAGTCATCTTAGCTGTTACGCACTTTACATATACATATGCACAACCAATAACATCTATATATAATAATCAAGAAAAGACGGCAAGTAGTGACATCGCATCAGGGAAAAAATGAAAACTAGAGAAGATAGATATTTAACGATGGTAGCAGACAGAAGAGATTTGTGAGATCTTAATTCTAATGATGTATATATAAATCAAAATTTATTCCCTCGACTGAAAGGAGGTTCATGTCGAAAAAAGTGGTCAAAAAACGGAAGTTCGTTTGTGTGTTTGTGTCTGTCGCGGGTCAAAGGTCAAAAAAACCTTTTTTCCAAAAACGCTCAAAACTTCATAAAACATGGTTTGGGAGGGGTGTTGATGGTGGATGTTCGTTGGAGAAAGCATCGAGATTAACTGTGATAGCGAAGGCGGCCGAAGGCCGTCTGAGCGCTCGCAGAGCACAATCCACGCGTGGTATACATTTATGGGTGTTGCAGTGGTGACAGGGAATCGATGTAGTCAATCAGTAGCGATGCAGGCCTTGAAAAGATTGAGATCAACCTCGATGGTGGATCAGAGTGGAAGGAAGGGTGAATGAGAAGATATAATCTATAGGCTGACGTGTCAAAGTGGCGAGGAAATCTATAAATGAAGGACTGGAATGGAGAATAACTATCTGAGTAAAAGAAAATTAATCAAACTCTTATTGCAGAAATCAGATTCAGTAACATCTTTGCATACAAAACTACAACCGAAGCAGCCGTGTTGTGCAATGCAAAACCGGAAACATAAGGACCGCAAGTGTCGAAATCTTGAGCATGTTGCTTTTTCTACCGAGTACAATTTCTCCGTATGTCATGCGTTCGCCATAGATATTTCGTATTTGTCATCGGATACCCATGCTAATGGCATGTACTGAAAACGCCTAAATATCTGCACCAGAACTGCTGCTTCAAACAAAATCTGAACTATCGCTCACAGAGCTCTTTAAGACCATTCCGTATCACAGTCGCAGGTCGCCGCATTTCCAATCGCTCAACAGTCGAAATGAGTAATATCTGTATATTCAGGAAAAACCCTGTCCTATACAACCACTACCCACTATGCCGGCTACCATCTCACGCAAATGCATGAGAAATAGCGCAGATCCTGACTTGTATGGAACCAAACGGTCACTCATCGCTTCTGCCACATCAACTTAGACAAAGACTACGGCATCCAAAAAATACCCTCAAGATAATTGGGAAAAACCAAAACTTCGAATGTCAAAGTGAATGCAATTCGACAACACACAAGCAGATTTTCACATAAACACCATCAAAATTAAATCTTCATTCCTATCCACAGAGTAAAAACACCGATCCTCCCAGTTTCCCGCTACCCGATTCCATCAGCACAGCAGATTCTTATTCAACGTTGGAGTGAAGCTTCTTTCACTTCACAAACCATGTAATAGCCAGAATCATGAGGCTCAATATCCAAACTACATTCCCCTTATGTATAAAAACCTTCGACTTCAATCCTTCCAAAAAATAACAAAATTCAACTTTGCCATCAAATTCTCACCTCCCCTGCACATATACCGATGTCGACCAAGTCTAACGACATACCTGTGAGCCTTTCTCCGTCTGACAACATAATTTCTGAGCATGACATCTCCTTTGTCACTGCGAAACACAATCTTTATTTCTCGAAAAATTACGAACAATATCTACAACCGATCGTAAAAACGACTTCCCAGTTAAGATTCACACCCACAATCCATACATACTCAACTGTGCATACCTCAGAACATGGAGGAGAGCATTTCTCCCTCTCGCAATGTGTATTTCAACCATCGAAATACAGATTCTGACCCGAAATCAGAAGCTCTATTCGACGGAAAAACAGGCGAGACGATATCTCCGATGGTCACGAACTTCGGATCCGAAATCGAAACTTTCATTTCCTCTGCAGCTACACGTGTGCATTGTATGTGCAAACATGGAGGAGAACATTCCTTCGT